TGGCCTCACTAGCCAATCACTTCTCAAGGCGAGACCAGTACACAAACTGCGGGGGAGTTGTTTACGCGCAGTCACTCCCGGAACCGTCGATCTACTGGTTGGTTCTAGTTGTCCGGACCCGGTGATCTACTTTCCGCACTATGCCTCTGGACTCCAGCCCATTCATGGCTGGAATACACTTGTCTGGAATACACTTGTCTGGGAGTTACTTGCTCATTTCTTATATTCTACTAATTCAATACTACATTAAATCATCTATAACAATCAGGCCTTTCACGCCTTATCATATTCATTAGCTTATCAATGTTGGGATGTGTTCAATCGCCTATTATCTGGCCGGACCACATTGTATCCCACAACATCTTGCGACAGTGCATGCTGGTTTCTTGCAAGGCTCACTAGCCGACTAGGCAGCTCAAGCAGGGATTTGTCGTAAAATTCGTGGCAGGATCCGGATTACCGGCGTATGATTACGAGATTTGATCTAAACAGTTAATGTGCTGCATTCACTACGAGTTCATTCATATGACAATTGTCTTTTTGTGTTGATTTTCAGTTGTCACATTTTCAAATGGAACACAACGTACGATGAATGCTTGCCTCGTATGAAATAATCTAGTACTTTCGTGTGCCTATTAAGAATCAATTATATTATGCAAAACTATGACCAGGACTGCCTTATCTTGTCTTCCTTATGGTATACGGTGGAATAAATTTTACCTTTTATGCACGTATATTTAGAAGAAAGGACAAGCGCATGAAATAGTTATTTAAATAGCATAATCTCTGCACCTTTATGATTCCTTCACTTGCATTACAAGGCTTATACCATAAAGATCAAACAAATTTTTAACGTACACCCCCTGAAACTCAAGCCTAAAATAGTATATGGGCATGGTAACTGCATAACTTACGATAAGGACACCTCTCACTCAAGTAAAGTATCCGAATAGAACGTTATTTGATATAAAACGAGAAGGAAGAAGGATTTTAAAGCATATCCAACTAACTTATTGTTTATTTTAATCAGGCATCGAAGTGCAAACAAAAATAGTAAATTCCGCAGAATAGGCAGAACATAGGAATTTGTAGTTCCGTAGAGAACCAGAAAGAAGATCATTAAAAGTGTACAGGTTATGATATGTATGAGATACGGCATGGGACCTATCTGACGCAAAATGCCAAACTTTACGAACCGGCATTAATGCATGCACCAAAATGCGTAAATAATGGTGAAGAACCTTAAGCAAATTTAAAATATAAAGCAAGTAAAAAAATTACAAGTAGTCCTTTTTAGAAATGCCATTTTTAAAAAGAAACCTCAAATTCCAAAAACGTGGAAACTCGCTGTACGATTGACCAATAAATGTAGATATACTTATTAGATTAAATCGTAAACACATCATTTTGTCAATGTTAAAAATAACTTTCCTTTCAACCAATCTAGTTAGGTATGCATTTAGGATACTGGCTTATAATTACTTTGAGGCGGTCCCCAAAAGTCCGGCGAATATTTCACGATTTCCAGCTCTGACAGGTTTGCTTGTTCAGAAATATTCACTGAAGAAGTGAGTTTTGGGATATTCTTTCTTATGAAGATGGTCGTTTAGGGCGTATTTGTAGACTCTTCTAAAGGTATAAACCTATTGCCGATTCGGATGCTAATAAGCCTTAAATCAGGTAAGAAATTTGTATATGAGAAAAAGAAGATGTGCTCGCTGTAACAAGACGTTCATTAGCCTGATGTTTTGACATTCATCGTGGATCCTTCATCAGCGGCAGAAGAAGAAAGAGATCTCAGCTACAATATGCGCGATAGATTTCGAAACGTCAGTCGAATAGAAGTCTTGTTCCAGTCATCAAATCTTCCTCTGCTTACTTACTTTCTGGGATGCGCATGATCGGTTGTCATGGCAAAATTTGTATAATTGGTAACTTTATTCAGATAAGCAGCTGAAGAATATCTAGGTAAGTTAGTATTTCCAAAGTAACGCAAAATTAAAATTGGGATTGGGATTTCTGCTGATAATGAAAGTACTCAAATTTTCTCTTTATATTGGAGAGCTTTCCGCTACCTGTTTACTTTTAGGCCCGTTCTAAGATGGTATATGCTCGATAGAGTAGCCGAATATTTATTAAGATATTGCGAACACTGCTAGTCCTCTGTCCATTACGTTTCTAATTTACGCATTAACGGAAACTATATTGTAAAAAAGCTATCTTTTCCATGCTTCAAATTTAAAAAGATAGATTTCAATGTATACCTACACGGTGAAATACAGGAATTTTTGCTTTTGCGTCCCAAATCGTCCATGCTGTAAAGCAAGACATGGTCAGCAAAATTGTTTACTGCGTTTTGTGACAAAAGAATTCAGAAATTCGAAAATAAATTTTTTAAGCTGAATTCGTTCCCTGTCGGTTAAAAAGCCACGCGATCCCCTATTCGTGGTTCTAACAGATTTTTTCCAACATGAAATCATTTTTTTCGTTCTCCCGAAGGGAATTATTGCAATAATGGCTTGCAGGTATTAATGTTCTTCTACGGGTCAAAGCATAAGGGCAAAAGGTTTTTTTCTGGTATATTCAGTAGCATAATAAATTCATTGGATATTCCGTACCTACCGCTTTCGCCGAAATCCTGCATCTTTTCGGTCACTACAAGGACTGAGCACAGAGTTTCTTTTACTGAAATGCTTTCTGGCCATCAAATGCGCTCAACAGATCAAAATACGCTAAAAACACACTCATATTTCTATCAGAACTTTGCCAGAGTTTGGTCCCATTCTCTACCTTTAGAATATGTTGCATGCTAAGCGCTGTCACAAACGCACTTCAACATGTTATGAATGAAACTAAATTTTACAGTTTTGGTAACTGCATCACGTGTTTAAACAGTATTCTACGCAGTGGCCGCATTGGCCAAAAAGGTAATTGCCGCAACCCACTACTCCTTTCCCTTCTCCGGCGGCTTTAGTTAAGCTGGGCAGATGCTGATTATTGGTTAGCGCCGACGAGCCAATAGAAGGCCGGCTTGTCCTGTGACAGCTCTACCGCTCCTTAGCTAACCACGTTGCATCGCTTTTGATGGCATGATGCGGGCGTGTAACGCACACCAGTCGTGGCGGCATCGGCGTCGTCGTCAGCTCCAGCCACACCTATTTCAGCGACTTTAGAGACATTAAAACGCTTACTAACAGACCACTTTCGCGCCAACTTTCGTCACAATGCGGGCACCAGATAAGCTCGTCATATTCACGCCGCATTCGCTTGTACAAGATAAGCGTCTGAATGGAGTCCGCTCTGACGATCGACTCAAACACTTTGTCGACCTACTGGCCTCTCGAGCTCAAACGGACCTGCATGTGCCCTGCACTGTAATAAAGGCCACAGAAGAAGAGGAACGCCACAAATCCTTCGAAAATCTTCAAAAGTTCCTGGCCGGTGCCAATGCGGCTATTCTAGTGCTCTCCGGAGACCAGGCACACATCCTGGATAGCCTCTATCCTCTAATGCTTGTTTTTCTGACAGTCAATCCACAATGGAGAAAGCAGATGCTTATTGTCTTCCTGGGTGACCCCATAAGGATGGAGAAATTTGAGCCTTCTATCTTAACAACTGAACCAATAATATTTCAGCGGATCTCTACTAACGACTGGGCCGAAGACAAGCAAAAATGGACAGAATTAATGAAGAATATAAGCGGTGAGCGTCTTCTTTGCTTATTTGGACTGTCTGCTATTCTTCTGTGACTTTGTGGCTTTTATGAAGTGTCAACTATGACCAACTAATATTTGCTTGGGTTCAGAGGGCTCATTCCTACAGAGAGTCCAACCTTTGATTAATTATGATCATTTTGGAAGAACAATCATTGATCGCAGCCTTTTAAAAGGCAAAAGAACGTAACCGGTAATAATGATAAAAACTGGTAGTGTTCTTCCGCCCACTGTACTAGTCGCTGTGTTGCTTCTGGTGGGGTTCAAGTGTGAGCCCCAAGACACCACGGGACGAGTATGTCCCATAACACGATCGGTGGGCGCTCGTAAACCATGACCTTTTATTTAGTAAACACACTTTCACTTTCGATTCCTGAAGATAGGACTATGTTGTGAATAATGCAAATCCAGGGAACAGCAGTTCACTGATTTCTAACAAAAAAAACATTGGTGAAAGTAATAATCCTTATGAGAAAGTCTGAAATTCTCTGATTGCAATTCTTGCAGTTTCAATTCATCTCTGTCATAGTTATTGTCTACGGACTCTCGGAGCAAGGATGCCAAGAAACGGCTTCGCCGGTCCTTCTCTCCTCCAAACCTGGTATGTACTGTTGGGCGATCGTCAATTACGCATAGTCTTGATAGGGTCTAACTTTCTAATAACTAAAAGCATATTCTTCAGTCGAGGCGAAATATGGCAGACGCGATGTCTAGGGTCTGAAATGACAGTGTCTGTTATCCAAGAAATATATCGAACTGACTTCTAATACACTCACAATGCCAACGTCTATTCTCAGACGGGCATTCACTGTTGACCCCCATATTAGTTGTTGATCATGCTACCTGCGAGTTCTAATCAATAAACTTGAAAACTGTACAGTCATTCAGGAAGCCGAAAATGTGAAGTATGCTTCCTCTGTCATGAAATGTCAATCAAAAATTTGAGTCAAATGAGCTACTCAGGTCAAATTTTCTATCGATTGTCATGTAGCCTAATCTGAAAATATTTCATTCACAGCAGGAATCCGGATTTTTAGCCAACTTTCTATAAACCACCCACAAAAAGCAAACTCTACAAAAATGGATATCTAAGTAGTATGCATGTTTTCACTAATTTTAAAGTCCCCTAAAATTCAAATATATTTTATGTAGAACATAGAAACCGAAATATTTTTCCTTCTACTCTTTAGGAAGAAAATCTGACCCTCAAAGAAAGAGGTCGTTTCGGTTTTGAAAAACTTAAGTAATCGCTGAATTCAGGCTTTCCAAATCACACGCTGCATACGTTCTGTCTATAGGAAATCACACACTGCTTTACCCTATGATGGAGAAGTCGCATAATTCTTATAAAATTTGTAAATAATCGTGGATTAGTGTTTGTACTTTATACGGAACGGTAATAAATTGACGCAAACGATTAATTACAAATGTATATTTGCTCTTCTTATGCGATCTCACAATTAAAGACGTTTTATACAACCGAGAGATCCTTTTTCTTCGAATATAAAGTTTGACGATCTTAATTGATATCCAAGGAAAACAAGAAGGACTCTTTTGTGCATGATTTATCTAAAATGTATTAGGACTTTTACGGACATTTAAAGTCAATAAGAAAAATGCATATTACATTTTGATAGCTATGCTTTATGTAGACTGTCAACACGATGGTCGGTCAGGAGCAGTAAACACATCTTAAAAATATATATTACTTTGGTGTTTGCGCCATTAAGCGGTTGCGGGAGCGTCATTCCACATGCATTGATTCTCATCTCGTTCGGTTTACCGTTGGCTTTTTGCAAACGATATCTAACTCATTCTGCTTCAAATGGCCACGCCTACGCTTGATACAGGACACACCTTCGTCTGGGACAAAACTCATATCATCGGAGCCTGCTCCTCCAATAAGACCTAGAATTTTTTCAAGCCATGCGCTCTGATGAGTCATGCAGCAACCAGTCCATTGGGTTTAAATGGGGTGTGTAAAAATGTCACTGAAAAAAGGACGAGAACCAGACAGTGTGGAATGACATATACGGTGGCCGATTACTGACGCAAACAATCGACGAATACGGCTTTTTTAGACACATTTGCATTTTTAACTGATTTTTGACTTTTATTCGTTTCTAACGGTGACCTGGGGTACCGGCATCGAAAATTTACTCAATAACATTTCCTTCTTATTAAAATAATGCATGTAAAATCAAAGTATATTTCGTAGGACGTGTGCCCTCCCCATTCATACACAAGACCTTGATTTTATTCTAAAGCATTCCAGAATCCTGATTCTTTTGCCTAATTATCATGAACGTTGTCCTGAAAATGTACTATTTCCATTGGACGTCGGTGAATATCGTTTGTTCGAATGCATGGTTCATGCTCTTGATGAACACCGTGCTGCTACTAGGCTCCGTGCTGTCCGCCAGACTGCATACGCTCTGAATGTTATGCTCATCCAGATCATCAGGTGTCAACAGTCTTTTGAAGTCGAGATGAATACCGCGTTCTCGCAGGCGGGGTTTTATTTCTAATGTGTCCTCTGGGTTGTTCACGCCGGCTATTCAGAATAAGGTCTTGTACTAAGCGTACTCCCTTTGCAAATAACAATCCCTCGATAGACAGTTTTCTACTTACAATTGGTGTTGTCAAGTCTTCTTTCCGAAGAAAGTAAAACGTTCTTTATCTTCCTTATTTTTCTCAGCAAATCTCGAAAAATGTCTTCTATACATAGTCTTAAATAGCGTATGAAAAGGCTTTTTCGTATCCAAAACCTAAGTTTCGTTCCGGTCAAACCCTTTCAGTTCTTGACACATTTCTATCCTTGATCTTTCATAACGGAGTGGATGACCTTAATAAACATGGATATATTTTCCCATTACCCACAAGGGATAGTGGCAGCGTGTGTTGGGTACTCCCTATATGTTCACTAATGCCTTATAGTATCCCGCTCGGTGGAGCAGCTTTTCGTCCGCCCAATATAGTAATGCCATTAATGTGGGAATAAAAACTCCTTCCCTTTTCCTATGCTCGGATGCCTTGTCAGAGGGATTAGGGTTCATTTCAGGGCCGAGGTTAGGGTTAAAGTTATTTGTAGGGTTAGATTAAGGGGTTAAAATAAAGTTTACGGTTAGAGCTAAGTTTGAGGTCCTGATTTCAATTGGTGTTTGGGTTAAGTTATGCTTGGGGTAAAGTTGAACATAGGATTAGGGTTAGTACTAGGGTTGTGGTTATGATAC